CGTGATCAGGAGTCACTTTCAACCATTGTCCAATGATGTTTCCATTTGGATCCTGTGATATAAGAAAAATTCTTAAACTACCAAATGGCTTAAAGGGAATGAACAGTCTTTTCAGAGTATTTTAGATAAGCATGAACATGTAACACTTTTCAGCTCCTGCCCCCTCTTCCCCATCTCCCCTCAGTGTGACACCAGGCCAGAGTTCTTCCCAGACCCGCTGGCACTTTTGAAAAATAGCACACCTATGACTGAATAAGCAACAAGTACCATCTTCCACCATGGCAGATTGACTTGTAGTTTGAATGAACCACAGGCACACTGATCAGCACTCCAGTAAATAATTCCCACTGCCGACAGCTCTGAAAATGACAGCCCTTACAGAGGTACAGGCAATAGGGCTGTAGACAGTGTGTGCAGGGGCCTGACAGTAGAAAATGTTGCAGGTTCCTGTTGCAATAAAATAAATGCAATTTGTTTTACCTGCAAAAAATATGTTCATTTATTATTTTTTATGGAATGATGAACTTAGCCTTTAAAGTTTTAGAAGCCCTGCTGAGATACTTTTGGTATTAAAAATGCATGGGTGCAGCCATATTTGCTCATAAAACTTGCAGGTTCTAGCTGGTTTGTGGTGCTGCAGAATGGTTGTGCTTTTATGCTTTTTTAAAATGCAAAAGTATAGCTCAGCCTGCTCCTTGCACACAATGCATACCCTCTTACCCATTTGAAGTGGACAGTCTATTTTAAATTACTGTTCAGTTCTTTAATCTAGGAACAAAGCCTGTGCATAATTTCAGGTTTTTGGTTCAGCAGTTACAAGGAGGCAATTTTGGACAGGAGTTGGAAATATAGAAGAGTGACTACATAAAAAAGAACAAGGGGTCCATTAAGTCTGATCGATTTTTAAAAACGTTTTTGTCTTTGCATTATTGCAAGTTTGCAGTAGAATCCGTGGCAGCAGAGGCCAAGACAAACAAGTGCCAGACCCAACAGAGTGATTGTGAGGTAACTCAAATACACAAAGTGGCTGATGTCTCAACATATGCTAAAAGAGAAACAGTCCTCCCTTTAAAACATGAACTTTGCTCTGCTACTGACCACCTCTATGACAAAATATCATCCCTGTCCTGTCCAGATCTAGCCACTTCTGTCTACAACAGTTCACTGTTATCCTCCCTAGACAAGCTCACCCCCTCACTATATACATAGTCAGGCCTCGACCCCTTCAACCCTGGCAAACAGATGACACCACAGGTCTCAAAAAACATAGCTGCGCTCCTGAGCGTCTGTGGAGTAAGACTAAGTCTCAAAATGACAACCAATATAAATCTGCCCATCAGAAATACTATTCCTGCCTCCACACTGCCAAGCAGACCTATTTCATTACTCTCATTAACACCTTCTCATCCAGTCCCCGTCAACTCTTCTCTTCCTTCAATTCTCTTCTTCATCATCCACTGCCTCCACCCATTAACTCACTCACTGCCCAGGAGATCGCCAATCACTTCAAAAAGAAAATTGATACAATTAATGAGATCTCCGACGTGCAGATACCTCCCCTACTTAACACTCCACATCCATTTGGACATTCACTACTTCCCACATTCAACCCCACTACTATAGACAAGGTTGCTAAACTTTTTTGAAACGCCCACCTAACCACGTGCTCCCTGGACCCTGTTCCGTTGTAAATGCTACGGTCACCCTCTGGCTCTATCCTACACTCTCTAACGCACATCTTCAATCTCTTCCTTTCTTCCTGTATCTTCCCCAATTCTCTAAAACATGCCCTAGTCACCCCCATATTTAAAAAGCCTTCACTAGACCCTGCCATTCTTAACAACCTATGACCCATCTCTTTACTCCCTTTTCCTCCAAACTCCTTGAATGCCTGGTGTACAACAGCTGAGCAACCACCTCACTGAGAATAACCTTCTTGATTCCCTTCAGTCTGGATTTCGCTCTCAGCACTCCACGGAAACTGCTCTCTTCAAACTTACAAACAATCTACTAACGGCTGAAACCAATGGACACTATTCTGTACTCCTGGGCCTCTCTGCTGCCTTTGACACAGTGGACCACTCCCTCCTCCTCAAAAAACTCTACTCCTTTTGTCTCCATGACTGTGCCCTTCGTTGGTTCTCATCCTACCTATCCCACTGCACCGTCAGTGTCACTTACAATTCAACTTCCTCTTCTCCTCTTCCTTTTTTTTGTTGGGGTTCCCCAAGGTTCTGTTCTGGGACCCCTCCTATTCTCAATCTACACCTCCTCTCTGGGCAATTGATTGCCTCCCATGGCTCATTTTTATGCTGATGACACCCAAATTTATCTCTCTACCCTTCAGCTCACTCCATTAGTCTCCTCGTGCATCACTAATCTACTAACAGACATATCAGCTTGGATGTCACACCACTTCCTGAAAATGAATCTATCCAAAACTAAGCTCATAATATTTCCTCCCTGACGTTCCCCTTCCACTGACTTCTCTGTCAAAAACAACGGCTCAACCACCAACCTGTCCCCACATGCCAGGGTGCTAGGTGTAATCCTGGACTTCGAACAGTCCCTTCAGCCCCACAACTAATCTCTCTTGCTGGCTCAACCTCCAAAACATCTCCAAAATACGCTCTATCCTAACTTATGACACCACAAAGCTTCTAACTCGCTCTCCTGCCTTGACTACTGCAACTCTCTCCTCACTGGCTTGCCTTTGCAACAAATAAAATTCAAAATACTTACAACAACTTATAAAGCCATCCACAACTCGGCCCCTAGTTAAATCACTAACCTGGTCTCAAAATACCAACAAATCATTCTCTTCATTCCTCCCAAGACCCCCTGCTCTCTAGCTCCATTGTCACCTACTCCTATGCTTGCCTCCAGGATTTCTCCAGAGCCGCTCCCATCCTCTGGAACTCCCTTCCACAATGTGTCCGGTTATCTCCATCTCTGTGCACTTTTAGACGATCCCTGAAAAATCACCTCTTTAGAGAGGTCTATCTTGCCCCCACCTAACAATTGTACATGTATTTTGTCCATCAGCCCATCCCACACAGATATTACCTTTTGTATCTCTCGACCCTCCCTCTTAGATTGTAAGCTCTAACGAGCAGGGCCCTCTGAATTCTCCTGTATTAATTTGTATTGTAATTGTACTGTCTGCCCTTATGTTGTAAAGCACTGCATAAACTTTTGGCGCTATATAAATCTTGTATTATAATAATAATAATGATAATAAAAAATAACAAAACTTCAGTTTAGTAGTCCATTGTGAGAGTGTTTTATTACTGAAAACAAAATGAAGGAGTGAACTGGACAAGAAAATGTAATGCTTTACAACAATGCAAATATGTGGACCCAGGCCTTAGGATGCCACCAGGGCTGGTGCAAGAATCTTTGTCTACATAGGCGAAGGTGCATTTTACCGCCCACTCCTCCTATTCTGGTGCCCTAAGGCAGCTGTCTATGCAGCCTTATGCTGGCACTGGCCCTGAGTACAAATTCAGGACCATCAATTACTGCTTTCCAGAAACGCATAACCATCAACTCAGTTCTTCAAAGAGCAGTACCATCAGCTACCCCTTTCTAAGCAAAATATAATAGCAGAACAGCAAGGCCAGGTTAAGTACAATCATTACAATTCTCCAAAAGAACGGCACTACCAGCTTCTCCCTCAGACAGAGTGATACCATCAGCTCCCCTTCCCAGGGACAGGGGATCTAGTTGCAAGCTCAATTCTCCATCATCAGAGTGGTAGCCCAAGTACAGCTCTCCACTAAGGGTTTGCATCTCTGTTGGATTTTTATTACTGACCTTTCCCATAATTTTTAAAGGATAAGTTCACCTTTAAGAAAAAATAATAAATGCAGGTAAAAAAAGGGCATTTACCTTTTTTTCTTTATAGGTACCTGGAAAGCATTTTACCAGTAATCAGTAGATCACTGATGCCATGCAGGTCTCCTACAGACTGTCAGTGTAAGCTGTCTGCCTGTACTCCATACATTGTACATCATACATCATATGGGCAAGCAGTTTTGCACTGACAGGAAGAATCAATAAACTAAAACAGCGCCCTGGTAGTTCATTGAGAACAAGCTAACAGCTGCAAAGCCTGTGGATAGTTGTAGTCCATTCATTCACAGAGCACTGTGAATGAATGATGCAGCTGGGCAAATTTTAGATTGTGACAGCGAGTGGGGAGAAAAGATCCTCGCTGCTGCCAAAACGGGGTCTCAGGGGGGAGTTTTACATTTGTAACATGTTACACCCTGAATATGGGTGAACCTATCCTTTAATCCAGATGATGATGAGAAAATAGCAATAAAAAACTGACAGTGTGTGTTTCTTCTCAATTAACAATACTGCCATCTCAACCATAAATTTCTCACTGTCTTGGGTGACAAGGTTGTGAGAGTTAATCTCCCTAAGGCTGCCACAACCTGACATGGGTTTGAACTTTTTTCCTTTCTATGCAAAATGAAAAAAACATTAAAAAATACAGATGGTTTTACAATTTGTTCTTATTCATTACTATTAGCTGATCCTGACCAGTGTAAATATGTATACACACACACACACACAAAAGATCCTACTACACTATGAGGATTCTTTTTGTGATTTGAATGGGGTTGTCCTCTATGAGGATAATTCCTTTGTAGGTTCATCTTATAGCACACTCTCTGATGTGCAAGTTTGGAACCAAAGAGCTTCCAGGTTCATCTTATATTCCACTCTTTGATGTGAAACCTTGGAACCAAAAGTGTCCAGGTCTGTGGCTTGCCTTTTGGAATTTACAGAGCGTTTTTTGACCCATCCTTAACTGGGGGTCATTATGATCTGGTAAGAGGCAGAGTGTTTGGTGATGAAGATGGTGGACCTTTCTCTATCTAAGAAGACAATGTCTTAACTATTTCTCTCCTTGAAAAGGAGAAAATTGAAAGGGTAAATTACAATTTATTTGTTCCTATTAAAATGAATTGTACTGGCAAAACTAAATATGCCCAGCTAAATTTAAGACAAGAATAAAGTTATGTGAGCCATGGCCTAGTCAAACAGATAGCCGACCCAAAAATTATACGATTCCTCACACCCCAGAATTACTGGATGTCAGACCCCAATATTGACTTTGAAGATTATAATATAATTGCCATGTATACAGGGGTGGACTGACAACTCATGGGGCCCCCAGGCAATAGGGGATCATGGGGCTCCTGTGTCCTCGCCCACACTCAAACCACACCCAAAAAAGCCTATGAAAGGTACCAGGGGCATCTCATGGGGCCCCCTACTGACCCCGGGCCCTCGGGCAGTGCCCAAGTTTCCAAATGGTCAGTCCGCCCCTGCACGTATATGTTATCTGTAACCATAGGAAATAAAACAACAACACACTTGTTTCTGGTGTTGAATAATCCCCAGAAACAAGTGTACATTGGCAATTATTTACTACATTGTTTTGCCATCCAAGTTGATTTGATTAATGACTCCTTGTGGAGTAGACTAAAAGGGGACCCCAAGGGATTTCAGGACACCAGCCTGGCCCTAATGTCTCAACAGCAGATGCCATGTGCGGTTGGTATACAGGTACACCAAAATATTGTCATCCTCAGGGGTGCTAATAATTTCCTGTTACCTTTACGGACAAAAGTTAACCAATCCTTTGCTTTAATAAGCCTTTCCTTTCCCATAGGCTTCAACGGGAGGGATTGTCAGTGACTCATACCTCAATGAACATTGTCCAGCAATCTCCCATACATATTTATGTACATAGCCTGGCCACCCAGGATCTTATACTGCTCAAGGGAACTACCATTGGTTTAGCAGACAAGATATTATACCTTTGGGTTTACAAAGCAGGTTATCAGACTTATTCCTGAGGACTGTCGGAAGAGCAGCTAAGAGAGCAATCCTTCACCTCTATAGCTGAGGGTCTGTTCTCCATTGAACCCTTTTATCCATTCATTTCTGAAGAGGGTAGCTGTAGAATTGAGGAAACAGCTCTTGTATTTGATCAACCAATCAAAGAACAAGATTACCGCAAAGTCCAGGAATGCAAGAATGGTATACATCACAAACCAGGTGATCTAACCTCAAGGCTTGAAGAGGCCTATGAGATTGGACAACCTGAAACCTTCCCAGGGTTCAAGGAGATGGTGGAGGAGATTATTTCTCTAGCTGATGCGTGCTCTTATGATCGTGAAAGACAACTACTTTGAGAGCTACTTATAGAATGTCAGGAGATGTTCACTAGGGATTCATATCATTGTGGGACTACAGACTTACACAATGCCAAAATCGAAACTGATCCGGATGTGCCACCTGTGTCTGTCAAACAATACCAACTCCAATTAGCTTCATGCGAATCACTAGCAGAAATTGTTAAGAAGTTAGAAGAACGGGGGCTGTATACAGCTCATATAACAACCCAATCCTAGGTATCCTTAAACCTAATGGCCAATGGCTGATTTAAGACAGTTGATTAAACGTGTCTATATGTCTGGTTGGCCCATGCCTTATATTGACCAGTGTCCCACCCAGTTACAAGGGTCTAAAGTATTTACAGCCCTTGATTGTGCACATGGTTATTGGACCACTAAGGTGAGAGAAGAGGGCCAGTACAAACTGGCCTTTAGTTTTGGGAATAAACAGTACATTTGGGTATGAATGCCTTTTTGGTACATTAATCAAAGTAATCAAAGGACTTCACATCCCCAAAGACACATGGCTGGTTGCCATTGACAGAGATTTTGTACAATGGTATTCCTCATGAAAAAGGGTTGTCAGTTATAGCTGACCATCTCCAAGAACGTGGCCAATCAGCATATGAATATAATACATTTGTTTTGAATTTGCTAAAGTTGATATTAAAGCGCAATGTATTTATGTTAAGACTCTCACACTACCTCCAAGTGCAGGGGGTTGCGATGAGGACTCGGTGTGCCCTATCATATGCCAACCTGTACCTGGAAGGGTGGAAGACAGAATTATTTGCCCGTGATGACATCATTGATTATTTTGAACATATTGTCACTTGGTATCGCATGCATAGTGACACACCAAGTGTGACGTCATACACCGGCTGGGCGGAAGGCTTATAAAAGTTGATTGGGATAGTTATAACTGCTTTAGCCACATGGGTGACCTCTCAGCTTACATGTACAAAAAATGGTGAGAACTGTATAACCATCCAGTTTTGTCTTCACATAATTTATTGGTAAATGTACTGTCAGTCTCATTTTCCCTCTTTTAACAATTATTGGCCAAACACCACTAACAGACTTGTGTATGATAATCCTGTGTTTTGGTTAATTTTCTAAGATCATGGTGTGTACTATTTTGTTCGACTTAGTTTCTAATCTTGCAAAGTAGTGGAACTTGGTTGGTTTTACTAAAAGTTCTCTTATTTTTTCTCATTAGTGCTGAGTTTATGCCGTCAGGATTTAATTATGATACCCACTTGTGGTCCTTTGTTATTGCTTTATTCCATAAGTTATTCCCAATGACATCTCTTTTTTCTTTTACTTTTTGTGAGGGGGCTTTCCCCATGTAGGAACTGATGTAACCGTATGTGTGTTTTAATAGATTTCAGGCTTTTTGTGTACCTTCTGCGATCAGAATCCTAAAAAAATGCCTGTGCTTTTAATCTTTCTGTCTGAGGATGATTTTAGGCCTGGTGTGAGAGGTCTTCAACATGTGCTGAGCTTCAATCTTCTTGACCTCATGCTAATTACACACGCCATCTCCCAAATGTTCTTAACAGCATCTCATAACGAAGCCCAGTAATAAAGATTGTAAACAGCTACACCACTCCATGTTTGATGCTGTTAATGAGACTTTGTTGCTGATGGCTTTACTTTGCAAGAGTGAAGTGAAGATTCCAGGATAGTAAAAAGTAATAAAGAGATAATTTCTTACAGGGCAAAGTGACAGTGTTTCCTCTAAAGACCCACCCACTTTTACACACCTTACCTGTGCTCCCTCACAGTTTCCCTGTTTCTGCAAATCTGGCATTGAAGCCAGCTGTATTGGTGACCCAGGGAAGCAAACATGTCCCTCCCCCAGCCATGTGACATGGCTCAGCCTAAAGATTGGCTACTAGAACTGTCACATGCTCTCTTGTACCCATTTGCTGGGTACTTTCACCATCTGCAGAGGTGCAAGAAGCTGAGTGCAGGTACAATGAGCATAAGGAGGTTCAGGGGAGCCTTTTCCAGAGATGCTGTCACTTTGCCCCAAAATGCAAGACTTTCTTTAAAGAGTTATTGCAGACAGTAAATATCTGATCTCAGTGGGCCTCTTGCTTTTGAATCTTGGTGCCACGTTTCATCTGCAGACAAACTAAATAAATCTAAATAGGGAGGTATATAGTTTTTAAAACAAAAGCCTGCACAGATATAACAGAAGATAAAATGTTCTACATTAAGGTAAAAAACCTTTTACATGCAGCTCTTCCCTACCCCACCCCCCCCCCAAATACTTATCTGAGCCTGATTTCGATCCAGCACTGTCCTTGACAGCAATGGCACTGTTCTCTCTCTCCCTCCTCACTGGACTCAGTAAGAGCAGCAGGAGCCTTTGCCTCTGTCAATCAAATACAATGATGAGGGAGTGGGGGGTGGATCCAAACTGCATACACACACAGTGTGGCTCAGGATCGAGCCTGCACGAGTGCCTCCATAGGAAACAGCTTGCAACGGGGGCACTTAGAGGGTAAAGGTGCCAGGAGCCCCAGCTGGTCAACCCAAAAGAAAGATCAAGGCTGCTCTGTGCAAGATCATTGTACAGATAAATATAACATGTTTATTGTAAAAAAAAATTACAATCATTTTAAAACACCATGTCTAGCTAACATGTTTCTAACAGTGACACCTGCCAAGGCTTAGATGATGTGGAAACCTACTACTGATTGTAGTCACATGTATAATGCAGATGACCTATTAACACTACTTCTGTATTTTTGTTATAGTTTATTCTAGAATAGGGCTATACTCCCGTCTGAGAACATCAATAAGAAAAGTGTTTAACAATAATATACAAATAATTCTGGAACATATTTTTTAAAATTACTTACCTGCAGCAAGATTTTTTCATACTAAAATGCAAAAGTGAAAAAAAAACAATTAAACATACTATAGGAACAAAAAAGAAAAAAAAGGCATTAGCTACATCCCTACATATAACCACCTAACCTGGTGGGGTGTGATACCTACATTAATAACTACAACAGGAAACAGAAAAGAAGAAAAAAGCAAAAACAAATTACACTCAAGAAATGTATTAAACTTTGTCAGTAAAAAAAAAACCCTTCATACACTGAAAAAACCCTTTCTCCCCAGAACACAATTAAAAACTACAATTGTCAAAAGATCTGTGAGTAATAATGTAAACTTCCATGAAAATACTGCTACCCAGTCAGATAGCAGTTTTAAGGACAATGTGTGATTATCATAATTGTACAGAATCTTTGCACATAAATGCAACGATTATTATTTTGTGAAATAAAGGATTTGAGAGCCTCCATGTAGCACATTACATAAAAATAGATCCTAGATCAATGTTGCTGTTGGCTGATAAGTGTATGAGATCGGGATTCATTTGTGCTTGGTCTGTATTATTCCCTGTGATCATATACAAGGAATTTATATACCATTGTTCTTAAAGTGTTATCTGACTGGGCAGCTGTTGTTATTTCATGAAATCTACAGGGACATTTTTTTTTGACAATTGTAATTTTTTGTGTCCTGGGAGAAAAGGGTTTTTCCTTGTATATGGGATTTTCTGTGCCCACACTGCAAAGCCTTAACTGTTCTTTATGATCTGGGCAGGGGTTTCCAAATTTTTTAAACATATGCCCAGTTTACTGTCCTTCAGACTTTGAGGAGCCAGATTGTGGCCAGTGGGGATGGAAAATGTCCTGGGCCTAGCATCAGTGACAAAAAACATTGCTTTAGGGTTAGTAGTCAGTTACATAGTGGCTGGGGTCAGTAGTAGAAGGAATTGTGGCCCATCATTGGTATTACTGGGAGGAACATTACCCCACCCCCGATATCAGTTGGAGGAATAGTGCCCTATAGTTCGTGCCAGTGTGAGGAATAGTGCCCCACCATTGATATTAATGGGAAGCACAGTGCCCCATCGTTGGTGTCAGTGGCAGGAATTATGCCCCCCTGTTGGTGTCAGTGGAAGAAGTAGTGCCTCAAGGGTCGGATAACGACTAGAAAAGGGCTGCAGTTTGTAGACCACTGATCTAGGGCAATAGTAAAAGGAGATTTGCTTACCCAATCCTCTGCTTTTCCTCACAGCAAGAAAAGTCTCCACAGTATCTGAACTGCCACACTCCACCTATT